CTAATATTAATATATAAAAATAATATTATATATTAATTATATAACTTATATTATATAAATATACAATATCTATATTAGTATATTACTACTATAGTATATTAATATATTATTATTATTATTTTATTATATATTATAATTTATAAAATTTAATGTTTTAAAATATAATAAATTTTTTATATATAATTATTTTATATTATTTTATATTTCAAACAATAACGATTCGAACACGAACGAACGCATCACTGTTCGTGTTTGGTTCGTTTAACTAACCGAACGAAAAAAATTTGTTCGCGTTTGTCTCGTTTATTTATCAAACGAATTGAACACGAACTCATTAACGAACCGAACACGAACTGTTCGCGAACAACGAGCTTTTTTGACAGCCCTACTTATACTTATTACAACAAGATTTTTATGGCAGCTACGAGTGGAGAGCACAAGATATCTGATCCTACGGTGGAGCATTGCTCGATGGGACAGTCTCTTCATCCACGTGATCGTTACCCTACATGCGTTAATTTTACACATTTTCTTTATTTGGCTGACGATTATCTAAACCTCATTGTTAACACTTACAGCTATATGTTTCTAACTAATTAATTTTTGTTTAGATGAGTTAAAACATCAATAACAGTAACTAATAAATTACTTAATTAATTTACTACTTTTTTTCAATTCAAATAAATTCAATAAACTAATTTAAACTTCAAGTTAACAAAAAAAATTATACACTATCATTATTACATTATAAATAGCTTGTGTTCGATTTATTTGTTAACCAATCTAGCATAATATGAACTATTTAATTGGAAAAAAAATATTACATTAGGACTCCGCTTACGTGCGGAGTCGAATCAAATCACAGAACACAATAACACAGGAGAATATTCAGCATAGGAGAATATTTTTCAGGTGTTATTGTATGTTATTCATGTGTTATTCTGTTCTGAGAATATTTATGGTGTTATAATAACACAATAAAACATCAATAACACTTGAATAACATACAATAACACATGAATAACACGGGTGAATATTCTCTTGTGTTACCGGGCCGATTTTTGTTTCTCTACGTGTGACGTGATTTACGTGTTGCGTTAGAAAAAGTGATTTGATTGGACTCCGCACGTAGAGTTACGTGTGGAGTCCTGATGTAATACACTCCGCACGTAGAGTTACGTGCGGAGTCCTGATGTAATACTTTTTCATTTATTTGAGCTCGATTTATAAACGATCCGAACATGAACAAAAAATTGTTCATTCTGCTCGTTTTGACACAAAATTATTAAATGATTTAATAATAACATGAAGTTATATCTTTTTTAGATTAATGGTTTATATGTATTTCAAAATGTTAAATTCAATTATTTTTTAAAATTATTTGTGAAGTATAACTATAAAAAAATATAAGGTCCGGTGTTTGATATGTAAATACAAAGGATTTGGTTGTTATGTATGTAAATGTCCCAAAAACAAACAGCTGGTGTTCCAAATATGGTTTTTACAATTAGACCAACATAAATGTAATATGCTGCTAGATATGTTGATATATAGGAATCCGATGGCATGCGTGTAAATATACCTTTATTTTTCTTTCTAAACATTTAGAATTCATTGCACATTCCTTTCACCAATTAACTGCAGTAGCTTGAATCATTAATGGGATGCTTTGCAGCAAATGAGGCGAACCTTCATCAAATTTAGTCCCACATCGAGACGAGGCATGATATTTGTGGAGAAAAAATTGCAGTAGCTTGAATCATTAATGGGATGCTTTGCAGGAAATGAGGCGAACCTTCATCAAATTTAGTCCCATATCGAGACGAGGCGTGATATTTGTGGAAAAAAATCAAAAATTTTTAAAAGCAGAAACAAAGCATTTCCCAGGCCAAAAAAAATTTAAAAAAAAATTCTGAACCTCGGAAATGATCTCCCAAATCACTTATTCGGTAAGAAAAATTATTTTTTTTTAATTTAATAGCAACAATTTAATTCGTTATATTTTTTAATGGTTTGAGTGAGAAATTTAAAGATCTCTAGATGGCCATGAACGAATGTTGATCTCATCAAATGGTACAAATTTATTTGTGCATTTGTTTTAGTATATATTATATCTCATCTTCATATAGTTTGCAAAAAGAATTCAGTCCAAGATTCACTGCTTCTAGCTAGCGGCTAGGGGTGTAAACGAGCGAGCCCAGGCTTAGCTCTTGTTCGGCTCGTCTGTATTTCAAGCTCAATAAGTGTGTTCTTGTTCGGCTCGTTTCCTTAGCGAAACCGAACACGAGCCGTTCACGAACAACGAGTCGTTTTGATAACCCTAATCACATAACCATAAGATGTTAAGGATCGGGGCATTTAAAACATCATTTTAATCTAATTTAACAATTTTTATTCTATTTTCTTAATTAATACTTTTAATTGATTATAACTCTTTGTAGTCTTGTAGTCAATTAATTTTTTAAAAATACTACTCAACAAAGATATAAATATATATAAATATAATTTGTTGGTAGTATTTAGAGTCAAAACGAGCCAAACATGAACGAACAAATATTTGTTAGCATTGTTCGTGTTTGGCTAGCGAACGAGCCGAACACGAGCTATTCGCGAACAACGAGCCGTTTTAACAGCCCTACTTGCGGCCACCTCCGCTGAAAAGGAATAAGCACTCACAATAAATAATTTAAGATCCACATGCCTCCAGGAATACTTAGCCGACCTTGAATTTTTTGCAAATCACATCCAACTGCAATGATTTGGAACCTGATTCCCCCAATTAAAAAACAATTAAATAAAAGAAAGGAATGTTTCTTATGAAAATATATAGCTTTTAAAATAATCTAAAATCTTTTGGTACATATTTAGCCCCATTCATTGGCTCCACTTTCTATGAGAAAATTTTCTGTTCAAAAAGTGAATTTTAATTTGTATGCCAATATTTCCTAAACAACTATGATAAAATAGCTAGAATATTCTATCTTTTTTCTTCACAGTTTTATACTTCACAGCTATATTTCAGCTAGAATATGGGAGCAATTTTATGTGCTTCTAAAACCTTCTAAAATAGCAAGTTTTCATTGTTTTCAGACATTTTTTAGTCAAAAAACACATCCAAATATATTTCTATTTAATTGAAGGAATAAAAAAGAGAAACAAAATAAACAACAGCCTTGAATTATGTATGTCTAACAACTTTTTGAAATGTTTCTATTTGTAATGAAAATCCCAAACCCAAACAAAACCAGAATGGTGCTGCCTCTTTCTTATAGCTTGAAGCAAGTTACTTACTGCTTGTTCAAGCAAAAAGAAAGAAATCTCTCTTTCCCATATACTTTGTATATAGTGTAAATAAGGAGATATGTTAACATTTGGATGAAGTATGAGAATACCCGTCTAATATCAGACAACAAAAAAAGCCTAATTATAGATGTTGCCACCATCACAAATTCAAACATCAAACTTTAAGCACAATAGCAACATTCACATTCATTACTGGTTCAAATTTAAAGACCCTTCTCCTTATTCTTATCATTAACAATTTCAAAAAAAAAAATAGAAGCCAATTTTCACAAATAAAAATTATTCACTGATAGATATATATATCTGATGTCTCCACATAATGCACAGGCATATAAGAATAATTTCCTAAAGAAGAAAAACAGGCCAACCCAAGCCTACATGAGCCTCAGAACCATATACAAAGTCATCAAGGAGTAAAGAACATAGAATCTCACTTCCTTCTAAAGAGAAGCATATTTGCATGCCTTTGCTCCAATATTCGCGCCACGTGAGAATTAATAAACCAGGAGGCTACTGGCACTTAGGCCAGTCAAAAAGGCCTCCCACTTTAAAACATATCATTCCCACTTTTTAAGAGAGAATAACATATTGGCAATTGCTTTAGGATTATATTCATAAAAAGCTGTGGCATACGACCAACCAAAATACCATTGCCCTTTCAATACATACAAGAGAGCAAAACTTACACTCTTCCTTCTCTTTTTGACACCTCTGCACCCCCTGTGTATAAAAATTGTTCCTTGGGAGCAAAAGAAGATTCTATAGCGTCCATTAATCACCCAGCATGCATATATATATCTGTAAATATATATATATATATATATATATAGGTCTCACCACCATTCTAATTCGTCTTCTCATTAAGGTTAGCATTGCTGAGTTGGAAACTTAGTCCGTGGTTGAAATGTCGAGGGACACTCTAGTTGTCGGCAGAGTCGTCGGTGACATCGTGGACCCTTTCGTGAAGTCCGCATCGATGAACGTGATCTATAACAACAAGAAAGTCACCAATGGTTCGGAGTTGAAACCTTCCATGGTGGCCAGGGAGCCTCGCGTGGAGATAGAAGGATATGATATTAGCACGCATTATACATTGGTAAGTTGTTTAATTAATTAATTACTTCGTGTTTGGTTGAATTCATAATTGGAGTTAAGTTTTCGAGGATATCTGGAACATCTTAATCATTGCTCAAGGTGATATCAATGATAAATAATGATATCCAAGTATGAGGGCTGGACAGCTAAGAATGTAATAGTGCTACATTAGTAGAATGGGTAATTACAATAGCTACTTTATAATGCTTTTATTTGCAAAAACCAAAGGAGTACGCATGAATATGTTTCCCTTTTTTGCCTTTGTCTTACATATATCAGTGTTTCCATGGAACGCAAAACTTATCTATCCTCTGGAATCGCATGATGCATATAACACAAGTGTAAGATAATGAAAAATAATTTAAATGTAAGAAGCTTTGCTGAAGAAGAAAATGGAAAATGATGAATAGTAGATGTTACCGTATGCTTACTGAAATATCACAGTATATTGTTCTCGTAATGCTCCATTTCTAAAGCACTCAACTGAAATGCTGATCTAGGTGATGATTGACCCTGATGCCCCCAGCCCCAGTAATCCAACAAAAAGAGAGCTCCTGCTTTGGTGAGAACCGGCTTCTTCTGTTCTTACTTGTTAACCACAATGTTTTCAAGTCAAAGAGTTTTGATATTACTTGAATTATTGGCAAGTCCCTAACTCGTAAGGCTGAAAGTTCATAAAAAACATCATCTGGATACGACAATATGAAAGATGTATTTGTGGAAACCTCTATTTTATATATATATATATATATATA